GACTCCTTGGGGATTAGAGTAAGAATTTGTTGGCTAATTGAGTTCAGAGTGGACTCTCTTATGGTAATCATACTTGAGGTTAGTTGCATGCCTTCAGTTGATTTCACAAGTGATGCAGCATTTAGCTATTTAGAATTTTGCATGGCAACTCTGCAGAGATTTGTTTACTTGTAGAAAAGTGTAGTGTTTTCTCTATAAGGGAAATCATACATCAATTGAGGAGCTAGGGTTAAACTGGGACACGGTAAATATTTTTGTAGCTTGTCAGATGCTGCAGACATAATAACTCCTGCGTGTTGATTTTGAAGTTAAGTATAGGAAAATTATATATATGAAAGAGGAAAATAAAATAACGGTATGTATTGATATATGAGTCTTTTTAGTGTTTGGCTAAGCGGGTGATGTGGGAATTATATTGCATATTCAAATAATCTGAATGTTAACTTACTTGATATTTTTAACATTCTGTGGTCGGACGGTATTAACATCGAACTAACTATCCAGATTTTTAAAATTTCTAATATATATAAAAGAGCAATTAATCCTCAAAGTGTAATAATATTTAAACATCCAAAAGTATCAACATGATTTGAAAACCACATCTAAAACCAGTACTGAACAGTAAATGAAAGAAACAATAAAAAAAAACCACAAACATATCATAATTAATACCTATCAGCTGCAGTATTTCTCTTGTAATCCAAATCTCTCCTACCCGATATATCAACCTAAAGTTTTTCTTCTCCTAAGAAAAGACATTAATTTGAACTGTAAGTATTAACTTAGTGAGTAATTATAATATAATATGCATTAAATTACGATGCGTATGCTATGTATGAATGACAAAAAAAAATGCAGCTCATTTCTTTATCAAACTTTGAAATTTCACTTTAATTTTATTTCTTCCTGTTTCACTTTAGGTATTTACCATTTTAACATCTTTAATAGTCATCACCGGAATATCGTCATACTCGAGTGTATCCTAAAAAATAGATCCAAGTACACCCTCAATATTGTACCCGAAAGTACCCTCAAATTGTACTCAAAGATATCCTCAAACCATTTCTTTTAACATGCACGGGTACATTGCATCCCTTGACAGTATCATCTGGGGCCAATCTTGTATGACTTAATTCTTTAATTAACATTTCATATCAATTAAAATCCTTTAAAATGTACCTTTATATGTAAGTTATTTTCTTCTCATCTTATATGTCATTTTAGACTTTCAATATGCAAGATATATCTGAAAAACTTATTTTAAATCATTTAATAAAGCAATTATTTATTTATTAAAATATTAATTTAATGCATAAAAGAAAATAATCACTCACCTTGCTTAACTTGCTTGCCACACCAATTCCCTATTCCCCGTTCTTCTAGGATTAAATGTTCTTCAACCTTAATTATTGTTAAACATTAATATTTTATTGAACATCAATTCCTAATTATGTATATTAAACTTTAATAATTTTTTTTAAAACATACCTTATCTTTTAAAGTGATTCGTCTCTCGATTTTGAAATTGAATCTTGCTTCTCCCAATTTCCTCTTGATCCGAGTGCATTTACAATTAACATGAAATGAATAATCTTAACTATATATAAAATATAAATATTAAATTATAACTAAAATGTTTTACCTTGTATACCACTCAGCCCCTGCCTTAACCTCATGCACATGACCCGCACGAGCTTGAGTCTTCTCCTTCGATCGATCGGGAAGAGATCGATCCATCACAACTTTGCGATTCTTTGTCTTTCCTTGATTTCCTTCCTCTTCTCCCTCACGCAAACAATGTTGTTGCCCTCTTCTCCTTCGCACAGCTCGATGTAGACAACACCGCGCAAGTCAATGTGGACAACACCACGGTCTTTACTTCTTCCTCTTCCTCTGTGCAAGCCCAACATCGAAATCTCCTCCTTTGTTTCGCATGGTGGCAGCATTCGAAGGCGCAACCTCCTCCCTTCCTCCTCATCCGGTCGGCTAGGGCTTGGTGTCATATCTCAGATATGAGACTCTGCATTCTTCTTCTTCTTCTTCTTCTCCTTCTCCCTTCGCCTTCTCTTCCTTCACGAGCACCGTGCCAACATTGCACATACAATCTTTCTCCTCTTTAGACTTCTCCGCATTCTTCTTCTTCTTCTTCCTCCTGTCTAAACTCAACGCAGAACGTCTCGAGTCCTCTTCTCTTCTTCTTGCACGCGCGAAGTCTAGCGAAGCCATTCTACTAGAACGAAGGTTTCCTTCTAACTTTGACTTCACCTTCTTCTATTGTTTCTTCTTTTTCTATCGCTCTCGGATACGATAGTTTCTCCTCTCTCGCTCGTTCTAACCGGATACGATCGAATGAGTAAAGCGGTAAAGGTTGCGATCTAATCCCAACCAAGAAGTTCCTTTGGAAATCGACCCTTATTTTTATTTTTTTTATTATTATTATTTTTAGTTACAATCTCCCATCATTATAAAATTTTGTTCGCAAAATTTGGAAAAGAGACATGAAAATGAACATACCCCAATTGAAAAGTTGTGTATATCTTTCTTGCATCTCAGAAACCTTCTCCCAAGTAGTATGCTTTTCGGGCCACGCTTCCATAAAATCTTCATGAATGGAATCTCTCTATTTCGTAGCTTGTTCACATCATATTCCAAAATCTTTTCAGGCTCTTCAACATAAGTCAGATCAGACTGAGTATCAATTGAGTATGCTATTACCCTACTAGCTTCATCTGTAATATATATTCTCAGTGAAGAAATGTGGAAAACATTATGCACTCCCTGCATATGTGCAGGTAAAGTCAAACTGTAAGTCACCTTCCCAATCCTCTCCATAATCTCAAATAAATTGACCAATTTGGAACTCAATTTTCTTGTCTTCCCAAATCATTGCACACCTTTCAATGGACTAATCTTTATAAAAACAAACTCTCCAACTTCAAATTCAAAAGGTTTGTGCTTGGCATCGTAATATTTCTTGTCTATCGTGCACTGGCCTCAGTCAGTCTCTGATTAGTCTAATCTTTTCAGTAGCATCATCAACTAAATAAGCACCAATGATCTTTTTTTCACCTATTTTAGCCTAACATAGATGTGTCATGCACTTCCTTCCATACAAGGCTTCATATAGAGTTATCTCAATGCTAGCCTGATAACTATTATTGTAAGCAATTCTACCGAAGTTATATGTGATTCTCAACTTTCACTAAAGTAATGGCACATAATTTTAGTAGATACTCCAAGGTCTGAATAGTTCCCTCTGGTCAGTCAGAGGGTGAAATGTTGTACTGAAAGTCAGTCGTGTGCTCAAAGCTTCCTAAGCTTTCTTCCACAATCTGGAAGTAAACCTGTCATCTCTATTAGACTTTGACACCTTATGCAACCTCATAATTTGATTGACATATAATTTGACTAACTTCTCAACTGGATTTGTCTGTCTAATAGGCAGGAAATTGACAGACTTAGTCAATTTATTGATAATTACCCAAATAGCAGCTTGACCCTAACCCTTTAAAGTTGGTTGCATTTTCAAATGATATAGTTGAGCCGTAATTAACTATAGATAACTTCAACCTCTCCGGATCTTTAATTAACTGCTCCCACTGAGTAAATAAATAGTTTAAATTACCTAAAGTTTTTTTACTCAGCGAATCAACAACGACATTCGCCTTCCTCGGATGGTACTAAATATTGAAATTATAATATTTAATAAATTCCAGTCATCTCCACTGCCTTAGGCTCAACTCTTTTGGATTGAAGATATATTTCAAATTCTGGTGGTCAGTAAAAACTTCATATCTAACTCCATGCAGATAATCTTTCCATATCTTGAGTGCAAATACAACTGCAACATGCTTCAATTCATGCACGGGATAGTTCTTTTAATGATTTTTCAATTGACGTGATACATAAGCAATGATCTTGTCATGTTGTATAAGCACGCAACCCAAACCCCTCAAAATGCATCATTGAAAATTTAAAACCCATCAAAGCTGGAAGGAATAACCAAAACTAGAGCAGACATTAAACAAGTCTTCTGCTTTTGTAAAGCCTCCTCACAACAATTGGATCAATCGAACTTCACTACCATTTGAGTTAACCTTGACAACAACATAGCAATCTATGAAAACCCCTCAACGAACCTCCTGTAATACCCAGCCAGATCTAGAAAACGTCTGATCTCAGTGACAGTAGTAGATTTTGGTCAATCTATAATTGCCTTCATCTTATTTTGATCCACAAATATGCCATTTCCACTAATAAAGTGCCCAAAAAAAGCCATACTCTTAAGCCAAAATTCACATTCGGAAAATTGGCATAAATTATATTCTCCTTCAAAACTTGTAATACAGCATGTAAATGATCTGTATGATTGACTTCATCTCTCAAACACACCAACATATCATCTATAAAGATGATCACAAAAGTATCTAGAAACTGCCTGAAGACCTTGTTCATTAAGTCCATGAAAACTACTGGAGCATTTGTCTGTCCAAATGACATCACCACAAATTCATAATGTTCATATCTGGTCTTAAAAGCAGTCTTTGCTATGTTTTTTTGTCTAATCCTTAGCTAGTGATAACCTGACCTCAGATCATTCATTGAAAATACAGAAGCCCCTTTGAACTGATCAAACAAATAGTCAATCCTTGGTAGTGGATATTTATTTTTAACTGAGTTTATTTAACTCCTTGTAGTCAATGCCCATCCTGAAGCTCCCATTCTTCTTCTCAAATAATACTGGAGCTCTCTAAGGTAAGATGCTAGGTCTGATAAACCCTTTATCAAGTAAATTTTGTAGTTGGCTCTTTAGCTCATACTTCTTCTTAACTATCATACTGTAGAATGCCTTACATACATGCTCAGAACCTGGCAAGAGCTCAATACGAAAATCAATCTGTCGCACTGGTAGTAGCCCTGGTAAATCATCAAGGAACACTAAATATTCTCTTACCACTGGAATATCACCCAATAACTACTTCCTTAGAAGTATCTGCTAAATGAGCAAGAAAACCTTACATGAGCAAGGAAACCTTGACTTCCGCGATTCAACAATTTGTAAGCCTTCAACCATGTAATTATCATAGATGTCAATCATTTATTACCGAAAAATTTAAGTTTTGCTTTCCCGGGTACATTTATTTTGACAATCTTCTTATCACAATCAATAGTGATAGTTTTTAGGCATCCAATCCATGCCTAAAATTACATCGAATTCCACCAAAGGCAACACAATAAGTTGGTTATTAAAGCTCTTTTCACCTCTCACAAGCTCTACCTCGCATGATTTTTAAATTCCAAAAAAAAACACCATTTCAGAAGTATCAAAATGATATGTAATCGCATCACTTTAGCCAGTTCATCATCTATAAATGAGTGTGATGCTCTCGAATCAAATAATACTCTTATCGGTCTACTCTAAAGATATATGATAAATATCATTAAAATCATCGCATTAAACATTTAGAGTCAGCTTATTAATTTATTTAAACCCTTATTTTTTGTATGACATGACATGAATCCTAAGGTGCTTAAAGTGTACTGGTTAAAATTATTAAGAGAAACATACATGTGTTAACGTCAGGGGGGGTCCTTAGCTTCCTGCTGCGAAAGTGCGTATACTCTAGGTTGAACTTTCTGCCGACTTTGGTCTTCATTTGTCACTGACCCCTTAAGATTTATTTGCCCTTGGTCTACCATAGCTCCTCTGAGGTGGTGCAGCACTGCCTCTGGAATCTGTTGGAGCTCTCTGACCCAATTTAAGGCAATTCTTCGCCATATGTTCTGGTTGGTGGCATGAAAAGCTTGTGTTGGTTCCAGACAGGCACTCACCCTTGTGAGACCTTCCACACTTGTCACACTTCTCCACTTCAAACTTAGTGTCAATACTGTTGGATCTATTCTTTTTAGCACTTGTATTACCTGACTGGAAGGACAACCTTTGAGAGCTTTGAGGAAATCTTGATCCTCGAAATTTCTTCATTTCTGAATATCCTTCTCTGAGTAGTCTCCAGATCCAGCTCAATCTTCCTAGCTCTCTCCACTAGAATAAAATAATCATCGATTCCAGGAGGAATTAATGGTTGTCTAATCACATCTCTGAGTCCAGACAATAATCAGGGGCACTTCTCCCCTGCATTAGGAATTAACTGAGTCACATTCCTTGAAAGCCTGATGAATTCACTTTCATACTGCATAATAGATCGATCACCCTGTACCAACCGGATAAACTTGTCCTGCATTTGCCTCCTGACGGACAATGGTACGAATCAGCCTCTAAAGGTGCTCACGAACTCACCCACTAAATCATATGACAGACTCTATCTCATATTTCTCATGTTCTTGACCTCGTCACTATCTCTCTGCCTCTCTTTTTAATGCAAATGTAGCCAGTGTAACCATCCTCTCAGGAGGACAAAATAACCCTTCTATGACCTTCTCTACTCTCAACAACTAGTTGTCAGCATCTACCAGACCTCCTTCAAAAAAGAAAGGTGGCCTCTTATCCTGAAATAATTTCAAATACTTATCTATGTGAGCTCCTCCACTGGAACTGACTTGAGTAGAGTTCTTAATCAACTGTGTTACTGCAGTCATTTTTTCAGTAAATGCATCTGTATTTATAGTAATCTGTCGGGGTGCATCAACTTTTACTATCTCATCTCTTGCTTCGTCCCTATGATTTTTCATAATTATGAAATAACATAAGTAATATTATAATTATATACAATTTAATTCTTTATCAATATTACTTATGAATTAAAATAATTATGTTAATGACTATTTGGGATCATGATTAAATATAGGTTTTCCAATACCACTTTTGTCACGTCCCGATTTGGTGCTTAGAATTTAACTAAGGCGGATGCTTCGGTTGGTCGGTATTAACATTCAACTATCCATATTTTTAAAACTTTCAATGTATATATAAAAAATCAGTAATCCTAAAAGTACAATAACATTTAAATATCCAGAAGCATCAACATAATTTGAAAATCATATCTCAAACCAATACTGAACAGTAAATGAAAGAAACAGTAAACAAAAACTACAAACATATCATAACTAGTATCTTTCAGTTGCAGTCCTCCTCTTATAAACCAAATCTCTCCTACCAGACATATTAACTTAAAATTTTTTTCTCCTGAAAGAAGACATTAACTTCAATTGTAAGTATAACTTAGTGAGTTATTATAATTTAATTTGCATTAAATTATGATGCTTATGTTATGTATGAATGATGAAAAGAAAATACAACTCATTCCTTTATAAAAAAAATGAAATTTCTTTATAATTTTATCCTTTCTCATTTCACTTTAGGTATTTGTAATTTTAACCTCTTTAATAGTCATCACATGATTATCGTCATACCCGAAGATATTCTTACAAAATGTGTCCGAAGGTACTCTCAAAATTGTACTCGAAGGTACCCTCAAATTATACCCAAATGTGCTCTCAAATTGTACCCAAATGTACATTTTTATCATTTCTTTTAACATACACGGGTACATTGTATCCCCTGCCAATACCATCTGGGGGTAATAGTGTATGATTTAATTTATTACTTAACATTTCATATAAATTAAAATTTCTTAACATATACCTTTATATGTAAGTTATTTTGCTCCCATCTCTTATGTTATTTTAGACTTTCAATATGGAAGGTATAACTAGAAAATTTATTTTAAACCATTCAATAAAGTAATTATTCATTTATTAAAATATTAATTTAATGCATAAAAGAAAATAATCACTCACCTTGTTTAGCTTGCTTGCCACACCAATTCCCTAACCACCGCCCTTCTAGGCTTAAATGTTATTCAACTTAAATTGCAATTAAACATTAATAATTTATTAAATATCATTTCCTATTTAAGTAATTTAAACATTAATAATTTTTAATAAAAAAATAACCTATCTTTTAAAAAAATTAGTCCCTCGATTTTGAAATTGAATCTTGCTTCTCCCAATTTCTTTCTGATCCAAGCACATTACAAGTAACATTAAATGAATAATCTTAAATACATATAAAATATAACTATTAAATTATAATCTAAAAATGTTGTTTTATGCAAAAATGATCTTAATTTATCATTTTTATACAATATGCCTGAACCACTAAAACTTAAGATCATTAAATGAAGTATGTTGTTAGAATGATCTAATAGAATTAAATGAGATAAAAATGAGATAACAACAACAACAAAGACTTAATCCCACTACGTGGGGTCAGCTACATGAATCCTTTTTCTCCACTGCGTCCTATTTAGTGTCATATTTTCATTTAGTTCTAGTAAATTAAGATCATTTTTAATACAATAAGCCCAAGTCTTCCTAAGTCTACCTCTGCCTTTCTTAACACAAGTCGAATCTAAAACATCTACTCTCCTAATCGGATCATCTAATGGTCGACGTTTAATATGACCAAACCATCTAAGACGACTTTCTCTAATTTTGTCTGTCACAGGAGCTACACCAACCCTATCACGAATATATTCATTCCGCATTTTGTCTCTAAGTGTAAAGCCACTCATCCACCTAATCATTCTCATCTCGGCAACACTTAACTTATTATTATGCTTCTCTTTTAAAGGCCAACATTCAACGCCATAGAGCATTGCAGGTCTCACCACCATCTTATAAAATTTTCCTTTCAGTCTTAGCGGTACTTCTCTATGTCTATTATGAGTATTAGAAAAAAAAAAATTATATTTTTTCAATTACTATATT